AAAAAAAAAAAAAAAGTTTTAAAAAATGTAATTTTTTCTACTCCTGGCTTAGCCAAAGCCACAAAAAACTGGAAATCTCCAATTGATGCCTGATTTTGATATTTCCAGAGATGCTTTAAAGTTCAGAGATGTTTCCAAACCCTTGTGGAACTTTGCAAGCCGTGTTTGATTGTGGTTTTTCTATTGAAAAAAAATATCTAAATCTTTCTAAGAAGTAGCTTTCCACTTGTTTTGAGCATGCAGGGTTCAGAACCTGATCTATGGTATGATTGTGTAAAACCATGTTTGGAATCTCCAGCCAAACCTTGTAAGAAATACTCCAAGACCTTCACAATGCTATACTGTCTCATTTATAGGGAAAAAAACCACAGAGGTCCCTGACTGTATACAGTTATTCTGAGATATTGGATACTATTTATACAGTGATGGGCAACTTTTCAGGGGTCTGGGGCTGCAGGAAGCCCTCTGATGAAGCAATGACATCACCAGAAGGAATACAAATGAAAACAAATTATTTATTACTCTGCTGGATCTGCCAAGGTCTCTCATATGTTTGATCAATTTGTGGGGTTTGGTATGGGGATGAAAACAAGCCTATCAGAATTTGGTCATTTAAATAACACATTTCTATGCTGCGACCTCATTGTTTTGGAAGGATGCACGTAACACTTTCCTGATGTAAAACTTATTACTGATTACTTTATTTTGAGTGATTGACCTATTCAGGTCAACTCATAGGCATCAGAAGTCAAAAAGTGAGTCTGATTGTTGAAAGACCTATTAGTGTCTACTCTGTTTCCCCCAAAATAGGACCTCCCTGGATAATAAACCCAGTCGGGCTTTTGAGTGCATGTGCTAAAATAAGTCCTCCCCAAAATAAACCCTCCCCAAAAATATTGCAACACAGCAGCAGCTATGAGGTAACCACACTCGCTGCCTCCTGCACCTCAAAAATAAGACCTTCCCAAAAATAAGGCCAAGTGTTTATTTCGGGGATCAATAGAAAATAAGAGCCTGCCTTATTTTCAGGGAAACATGGTATTACTGGAGATTCAGACCATAATNGAAACAAAGATACTTCAAGGATTTATTAACACACAGACTAGACCTTGGCAGCAATCCAGCACAGACTAGACGTTGGCAGCAATCCAGCACAGACTAACCTTGGCAGCAATCCAGCCTGCCAAGCTAGCCACGAGAGTTCTCCAGCTCTAGTAAATATGTTGATTCCTACGACGAGCGTGTAGAAAGTCATTCCTTTTATAGTCTTGAGAGGAGCCTAATTACCACTAGCTGAGTTCAATTATCTCCTGTAACTACATAACTGTTCTTTATGCCCATTAGCCCTCCGTTGCCGGGCATCCAGGACCAACTCCCTTTTCTCCTCCCCACTGCTCCAATGCATGATGTCAGGGTCACACTCCCTTGTCTCCTCCCCACTGCTCCAAGGCTCAGGTGCCTCCTGGTGGCCAACCAGCCTCTCTGCGCCCTGTTCGGAGTCGGAACCCTGTCCAGGGTTCTCCACATCCTCCAGAGCTGACTCATAGGGCCCCTTGCTGTCGTTGTCTGGTGGCAGCTCCAATGGCTCCTGCTGGGCCACAACAATATCTATGGAGATTTTCAATCATCCAGGTCATGGTTGTCACAAAGGTGCTTT